TTATGACTCAGATCTGCATCCATTACTTGCCTTTTGCCTTATTTGAGGTCATACCAATCGAACGATGAAACGTGGTATTGTAGTTTTTGATAACATCAGTGATAAGCTTTGCGTAATTCTCTTGGGGGACATTTTAGTTAGTCTCTGCTTTAAGGTCCTGTTGAATCGTTCGATTTTACCCATGTTTTCGTGATCACCGGGTTCGTTGTTGTAGTGCTCAATTTTCTTAGTTTGGAAAAATTCCTGAGCCTGTGAGTTCATGAACTCGCTTCCATTATCACTTGTTAGGATATCAACTTCATGGAGACGAACAAACGCTTTAAGCGCTGCTAACACAGTTGCTACCGTCTTGTTTCGTAAGAGCTTTACGTACCCCAGCCTTGAGTTGATGTTGATAGCAGTCAAAATAGGTCGTTTCTCCCAAAACGCAAGATCAATTTGCCACGAGCTGGGATTATGCGAAGCTATTTTGAAACCATTGACTCTCTTCTTTTGCTCCTGAAATCGTCGAATATCGGCCTGACTCCCATACCGCGCCTTTACTATTTTGAAGGTTATCTTAGAGTTTTACTCATTTGCCTTCTGATGCAGAGCTTGAGCTTCGATAAAATTGGTTTTTGGGGTCATAGTAGAGATTCTTTAGTAGCGCGTCCATGATCTATATTTAAATTTAAAAAAAATCCCCAGTGGCTACCTGCTTAAATATCAAGCGCTTCAGTCGTGATACCATCATCAAGTACTCGGCATTTGTCATAGTAGTAGGTAAGCGCTGTTTTGTTTTGAGTGTAGGTGATAATAGACTTGGTTTCTTTCGATAGTCTGGACCCCTTGTTTGTACCTTGTAGCGTGATGCGATCCCGTACGACAGTCTCAAACCCATCAGGATTAAAAATCGTTTCACTAAAGTAGCTACCAATCCACTTGCGAGCTGGTTTTGCTCGGCGTTGCTTGTGCGCCTCATTGTGAACGAACATGTGCTTACCAATGACGCTCTCATTCGTACAGTCGATCAGTACTTTCTTGAAAATTGGAGTCATCTCACCAAAGTACTGTTTGAGGTATTCTGGTGTTCGAATATCGCACTCAAGAAAGCCGAGTACCTTGTCTGCTTTGATATCATCGATGATACCATCATACACTTCAACCGTAGCCAATGGACCGCATGGCATCCCATTACCAAGGACCCATATGTATAGAGCGCTAGCATCGTATCTGATAATTTTCTTACAGACCTTCCCACCGCGAATCTTCGTTTCATTACGCTTAGCGTAGCGATTGAAGATAATAGATGGACCTCCAGCAATGTTAGCCTTCGTCTTAGAGTAGATATCCTTCTCCTCCTTGTCGATCGAGTAGACCAGTCTGTCCGAGTTGAACTCAAGCAACTTCTTATACCGAAACCCCTAAAGCGACATGTCTTTTCGAGTGGTGTTGCACTTAACGCAGTTGACCAAGATATTACCGTCGATGTGGCCAACATTATTGTTGATACGATCCGCTGAAGCGGTATCAGCAGTCAGCTGACAGTAGCATAGATCACACAGATTATTTTGCTTTTGCAGCAATGTATTCACGTGCTCGAGTGTCATACCGACATTTCGTTTTGCCTTAGCATCCTGACTCTTGTAGCCAGCCCTGCGTTTAGCTGGAAATTGGAATGCGTTAGCAAGTTTCTTATCCGGATATTGGAGATTATTGAAGCAGGCTGATACATGATCTTCTCGGAAAGACCAGGTAGAGACACTCCAACAGCAAACACATCCAGATCGAAGCGCATAAATAGCTCTCGCTGAGCCTTGACATCGAAGTGCTTAAATAGCTCTCGCTGAGCCTTGATAGCTTTGGTAAAAGGGACTACGTCCAGATTATTGTACCAGATCAGTAGGTCTTTGATCGATTTCATCTCGTAGTAATCCCAAACGAATTTCACTCGTTCGTAGTCATCGCTGGCGATGCTTGTTCCACGGAGCTTGCTATCAAAAGCTGCTATAGGCGGGATAGCCGTCTGGTTTAGTGCATTGAACGCGGTAATGTACCCGTAAGGGAAAATACCCCTACCATGACCACAGACACATCTAATTTTGGCATCGCATTTGCAGCCACCGAGATATGCTGTAATATACGTTTTGTAGCTGGTACCAGCTGGTACATAGTTAGTGATTCAAATCATTTTCATGTCTGATGTAGCAATGCACATGTAGCTGGGGGGGGGTTGATGACAGATTTGATGTTGTCGGTACCAATTACGGCAAACAAAGCCTTCTTAATCAAGTTAATATCGTAGTGACCAGAATTGAAGCCGAATACTGGGTACTGGTCAAGCTGCTGTTTCAGTTTCCCATAATCAGACCTTTGCTTACCAAAACCAAGTCTGATATGGAAGTGGAAGAAGTTATCATACTTCCCTCCCTTAATATAGCTATTAACATCCGACATCTTGTAGTTTTTATCAGAATTAGCGCCTGGGACTTCCATACCTGTCAGACCATGTGCATTGATGATTTTCTGCAGAAGCGACTTATACTATCGACATTGTACTGTTGGATCTTCACCGATACATCACCAATGTATTTGAACATATTCATAAGCAAAATCTTGGGGTCGTCATTTACAAAGCAACGCACCCCCTCGGTTAAACTATCAGCTACTGATACCGACACAGGTATGTGTTCGTTCGCAAAGACAGTACCCACCCCGTGTTGATTCGCGGTAGGTTTAAGAATGGCCTCAAAGTCATAAACGATGAAGTGATCGATGTAATAGTCAGCATCCTTGATGGAATACTTCGTAAGCAGCGATCGTATCGTGTTCTAAGCCGGTTTGTATATAGTTGGCTCAGTGGGGAAGCTCTCAATATTCATAAGCTGGCACTGGTTTTTCTTGTGATTTTTAAGTCTTTCACCACTCACAAAAATCATTTCACACTTGGGGCACTGATACTTAGACTGGAGCATATCGATGCTCTTGATGTAGAGAGCGTTCTTCTCGTGTGATAGAATATCCATAGCTTCATACCCATTGTCCGACCTACGAATGCTTTCAACATTTCCGGTAGCTACATCCATGCTGTATACGTTAAAACCGAGTTGGGAGCAGTCATCAACCTCATCGAGCTGTAGTAGGTCAATAGGCTTGAAGCTTCTAAATAAACTCAACGTTTACTTATTTCCCTTAAAATAGCAGTAGCGCTTGAATGCATCCTTCACCTGAGCCTGCATTCTGCGAGGATCCTTCTTGGTGCTCTGGAATGTGTGCCAGGCGATGCAGTGGAAGACGCACTTGCTGTTAGCCGTGGGGAAGTTGATTATATGCTTATTTTCGCGAATAACCTTTGGAATATTCGCGAAAATAAGCATGTAATCAACTTCCCCAAGACTAACATCGCTATCTCCAAGAGCATGGTCGCGATGGTAGACGAAAATCTTGAATGCAGTGATTGCATTTAGCTTATATCCAGAGATGGGGTAGTTCAGCTTGTCAACCAACTCCATAGACCGAATTTCCGATATCACCTTCTTTCGAATATCAGCCTTGCTGTTGATAGCGACAGGCTTATTGAACACATAAGTGTTAGCGAGATTCGGATAGAAGTAGCGAGTATCATCAGGATCGGTCTTGCTCACAAGTTCGTACCCAAGAGCAATATTTACCTTAAAAGCACTTGCCTGGGTCGAAAGAACGTTCTCGAGCTTATCGTAGAAATCAGTAGCCTCGACACCCTCATATAGGTGTGATTCCATGTGATAACCAGTGTAAAAACGGTACTTGGGATCATCCTTATAGTCAGGCGACATATGCTTCTCAAGGGTTTCAGCTGAAACACTGTACTGCTTAGCCACAAATTGTTTGTTGACTGAACGTGAGTTGCTGCTAACATATACCATCTTACCAGTTCTACCTCGAACCTTAACCCGGTAGCTGCTACCCATTTGACAGCTTGGATATTAAAATCTCTTTAATCCTGCGAGTTCGTATGCAAACATATTGCCTTTATATCTTCGTCTATATTAATCTCGTGAGAATCGACTTTATAATTATCGGATCTTGTATCAGGATCGACTTTATATTAGGGCTGACTTTATATCTAAGAAAATTTTTTTATATTTAGCTAAGTTCGCTTTGGTTAAGTTCGGATTTATTTAAGTAATTCTTCTTCTTACGAGTACAAATTTCTTTGCGATTCTTCTCATCATATTCTCGCTGCTTAGCCAGTCGCGTTTGACTTGTTTTAGCTTTGATTCGCTCTTTGTTAAGTTCGTATTGTTCAGGTGAGTACGTCATCTTTGTAAATTACAAACTTTATATTATCAGGAATAAAATATTATAATAGAAGGCAAAGCTCCGCATTCATGACTTTTTATGCGCGTATTACTAATCTACATATCGCTAGCACCCCTGCGGTCTTACGGCGAACAGTATGCCACGCTTTTCAAACAATTCCGGCATCCTTTGCCGCAAGCTTGTCGCTTGCTCTCTGCAATGAGGCCTTGGCTCCACATTTTTGTCAGCTTCCTTCAAACTTGAAAACTACCGACCTTAAAAAGTGTTGACCACATCGTGTAATTTCTCGAGAAAGAGCAGCGATGGCGGACAAGCAAAAACCTCACGAAGACGTCCTTACGCGACTCGTGTGCGACTTGGAAACGAAGACGACTTTGTGCTACATCAAGGACTATCCTGGAGTGGAGCTGGAGCAGCTAAATGATCACGCGAAGAAGCTCGGTCCTTTGGCGAACCCCGTTTTTGGCGAGCAGCCGGCGTTCTTCATCGACGAAGGCCGCTTCTGTCCCTATCGAATGGTCGTGTATGGCAATATGAAGGTAGCGGCCAAGATCGCAGAGCTCCTCGGAAATTGGGCAAAGTGGTCTGGAGTAGGAGGCAGAGTGACAACCTCGCAAGGGGCGTTCATTCTGGAGCAGCGTCTCGGAAAGCCAAACGTGAGAATGCCCGACGTGGCATACACACCGCGATATGATGACAGGAATTTGACTCGTGAACAGATGTGGACGTATCGTGGCGATCCCTATGTCCCCACCTTTGTTGTTGAGATTGATGAGCTCTCTGGTCCAGGCTCTCAACTCAGCGCTCTTGATCGAAAGATGAGAAATGAATATTTCCAGCACGGCGTCCAGTTGGGTTGGCTGATCGACCCACGCCCAGACCTTCAGCGGATGTATGAGTACTATCTCGACGACAATGGAGACGTACAATGCTCTGACAACAGTGTGTGGAGAGATCTTGACGGTGGTGATGTGCTTCCTGGTTTCAAGATGCGCGCACCTGTGTTGGAAATGGTCTTGAACCAGGATTCGGGTTCGTCGTCAGAAGATGAAGTTGATCTGCTGTGTCCCTCTCCAAGATGCAACAAGCGATTCCGTTCGTATGGTGCATGCGCTGCTCATGTCGAATGGCACCGTAAGGAGAGATCTATCTCGAAGTACTTAGCCAAGCGTGAGAACTCATAGTTATCCAGTGTGAGCTCATAGCCATCCAGTGTGGCAACTACGCTTCGACAAGTTCCTATCTAATCATATCGCAGAACTCAAAGCTTACGATCTAAAGCATAGTTGGCGGCGCTGACTGATTTCTTATTCCTGATTGGTGGCTAAGAGAAGATAATAATAAAATTATCTATTGTTTTATAAATATAGTTTGAATGTTGTCGTCTAAAGCTAAGCTTACCCTAATATCCAAAAGACGTTGCTTTCGCTCTCAGGTGGTCTCTTGGTGGTAAATTACGGTAAGGAAAAAAAAACTGCGATGCAATGTTCCATTACCCACTACTTCCGTTAGGGTCGTGATGTCGGCGTTGTACATGCGTACCATTTCTTCCATTCCAGACTCGTCACGAGTTCCAATATCCCATGGATTGTACGGGATGATCACACGGACACCACGACGATGGAAGTCAGCGATGACGCCCTTGACGCCCTCGACTCCACCGGGAAGGTCTCGTAGGAGATCCCATTGGTTCCGGTTGTCCACACCGATGTTCGGGTATGAAGGCCAGATCAACACACTGTCAATGGGGCCAACACGACTCT